TTCTGGGGTGATTTAAAAGTTTTGAAACAAGAGAGAGATGGTAATTGCTACAATGGACTGAATGTGTGTGACCTCCCAAAATTTACATGTTGAAATTCTAACCCCCAATGTGATAGTATTAGGAGGTAATTAGGTTATGAGGATGGAACCCTCATGAATGAACCCAGAGAGCTTTCTCATCCTCTTTCTGCCATGTGAAAATACAAGGACAAGTTGGCAGTCTGCAATCCAGAAGGCGGCCCTCACCAGAACCAGACCATGGAGGCACCCTGATCTCAGACTTCCAGCCGCCAGAACTGTGAGAAATAAATTTCTGTTTATAAGCCAATCAGCCTATGGTACTTTGTTATAGAAACCTGAACACAGTTGCACATTATGAATGCGCTAAACACTACTGGATTGTAAAATGGTTAATTGTACGTTGCATGAATTTCAAGCTACTTTAAAAAAAAAAACCCAAAATCCACACTGATAACAGTCATTCCTCAGTATCTATGGGGGATTAGTTCCAGGATTCTCCCTCCCCGAGATACTAAAATCCATGGATGCTCAAGTCACTTATATAAAATGACACAATATTTGGATATAACTTACCCACATCCTCCTTTATACTTTAAATTATCTCTACATGTAATACCTAATACAATGTAAATGCTATGTAAATAGTTATCATACTTTATTTATTTGTATTTTTTGTTGTTGATTTTTTTTTTTGGGGGGGGGATCCATGGCTGGTTGAATCAGCAGATGTGGAACCCATGGATACAGATGGCTAACTACATAGCTTTATGAGCAATTTGAAAATGATAATCCAAAAGTCTGATAAATACACTTTGTTGAAAAGGCTAAGAAGTAACAGATATTTTAATGTATTACTGAAGGGAGTACAACTCCTGCAACAGGTAATCTGTCAATATCTAATACAATTACAAATATATTTATCTAAGACAAACTTCTATAAAGAACAAATAAGGTATATAAGAATTCCTCATTACAGTTCTGTTTGTAATAACAAAAGATGACAAATGACACAATGATCTGTTAACATTAAATAGTAACCAATTTTATTACTCTTACCATGGCACTGAACACATCACTATTTCCTTGTTACAACAAAGTCTCCTTTAAAAATTACACATAGGGCCGAAAAATAAAATAAATAAAATGAAAATGAAAAATGAAAATTGAGCATACCCTAATACTTCCTGGGGGCAGAGACTGTCTTGATAACATTTGTATACCCTGATCCAGTACTAGGTATGTGCTCTATAAATATGTGATAAACCATTATGTCAATATGGTAAGTGATAACTTGGGCATAAATAAGCAAGCCTTCAAGAAATCAATTTGTTCAGTAATCTCAATAAAGGATCATTATTCTTAAGAATGGTGATTTACCAACTGATTTCCCCTATGAAGTACAATTTAACCCATTAAGACTTATTTATTCTAGAGGAGAAACATATCTAGGAGTTACCTATGAAAATGATAAAAATAAAATTTCACTTTAAATTAATAACCTGTCATGGATTTCCAACCGATTGTAAACTTAAGACACCTGATTCTGATACTTATATTAAGAAAATTATTTGAGCTTCAAGTATTTATCTACAAAATGAGGATAAAAATACTGATAAAGATTAATGAATGTTAGCAACTAACATAGTTCCTAACATAGAGCATATGTACAAATAATACTAGTAAAAATTATAAAAGCTTATAATTTAAAAAAAATCAATTCATAAAGCTATTGAGTGAATTTCAGATTTCCTCACAATATTTCAAAAAATTCAGAAATGTGTTACTTTATAGGTGCAAAATTGAACCAGAACAAAAAATGGAATAACCTTAAATATCTTACCAATAATTTTCTCTACAAGAAAAAGATCAGCACATAATTCTAGAATGAATTATATATGGCTAGAGGCAGGTGAAGTAAAAGTCACACTGCTGGACTGACAGGCTCAATATACATCATTTATTCCAAGATTCTGTACCTCGACATCCTGAACACTGGATAAAAAAGTTGATTAAATCCAGAAGTGCGATGTCCCTGTCTTGTTTATATGATTCAATCCAGTCATCCACCACGGACTGTGGAAAAAAAAATATAAAAATGAAAACTTCAAAAAATTTTGATACTATAGCAGATAAGTTTCCAAAAAAGTTTGTGTGTGTGGGAGGGTGGGTAGGTGTGTCTATTTGAACAAGAAAACTACTTACCTTAAATTATTTCTTGGTAGCCAAATAAAAGTAGAGATTTCCTCATTTTTAAAGGCCAATAATTAGGTGAGTAATTAGGTCTCAAAGATTTCTTCCCAATAGAGCACAACACAAACCTGACCTTACCAAACCCATGAAGCCAATTATTATCAAGCAAGGATAGATAATAATATTCAAATCATATTATGAAAATAACACAAAAATTAAATTAACTTCACTTAAATATTCACTTTCTGAGTTATTAGAAAACCTAATTCACTAGTACCACATAAAAAGACTGCACACCATACACAACTAGATGCATTTTTCCAGGAATACAAGGATGGCTCAATATTAGGAAATCAAATAAATGAATTTATCAATAGAGTAAAAGAAAAAAATAAAATGATTAATAAATACATCTCAAAAAGGTATCTGATAAAAAACGGCAGCCAATCCTAATTTAGGAAATCAAATAAATGAATTTATCAATAGAGTAAAAGAAAAAAATAAAATGATTAATAACTACATCTCAAAAAGGTATCTGATAAAAAACAGCAGCCAATCCTAATAAAAAAATTTCCAAGGAAACTAGGTTTAGATAGAATTTACTTAAAGAAGACAAAGACTAAAATATATTCACTGTTGAAACACTTAAGACATTTCAACTAAACAAGGAACAAGGCAAGGATGCCCCTCTAACCACTCAACACAGATTTAAAGTTTTAGTTAATGTAAAAATTAGCAAAATATTAGTAAAGACAATTCTTCTTTCCTATAGATGATAAGAAAACCTAAGAGTTTCTAGTGAAGTGATTCAAAAGATCAGTAACAGAAAAAACTGTCAGTATGGATGACAAAAAACAAAAGCACAAAATTACTTTTTAATAACATAAATGAGTATTCTGTTCACAACTTAAGATACCTAAGAATAAATTCAAGAGAGATATAAACCTTAATGATAAAAATTATAAAAACTTACAGGAGACATAAAGATGATGTCAATAAGTAACATGTTTTAAATTAAAAAAAAAAAAAAAAACACACTTAGTGCTCTATCAATTAAGTCTTCCCAAACTGTGAAGCAAATTTAATGTGATTCCAATTAGTACTCCCAGGGGCAGGATTGATGGGATTTTCTTAGGTGGGGCTGGAGGTCAAAGTAATTGCATGAAAATAAAATAAATTTTTACCTGTGTAATGAAGTATATTTATATATGGCAAAATGCATAAATATTAGGTTAAACTTTGATGAATTTTCACAAATCCATACACCTGTGTAACCACAACCAAGAGGAAGATATAAAACATTTCCAGAACTGAAACAGGCTCCTCCCTCCTGTCAGTCCCCATCCCCGACCCAAAGGGTAATAACTATTATTCTGATGTTTATTACCATAAATTAGTTTGACACATTTTTGAAATTCATATAAATGGTATCATCTTTTTGTGTGATTTCTCTCAGGTAAAGTTGTATCAATAACATTCAGCCACACTGTTATGTGTATTAGTAATTCCTTTTTCGCACTGTGGGTAATATTTCATTGTGTGAATATACCACAATTCATTACCCATTTTACTGTTGCTGGACATGAGTGTTATTTCCAATTTAGGGCTATCACAAACAAAAAGTATTATGAACATAACCGTACAAACCTTTTGAAGGACATAAATATTCTTTTCTGTTTTATAAATACCCAGTAGCAGATGTGTTAACACAGAGAATACGTACATGTCAAGGGTTAGTAGATAATACCAAACAATATTCCAAAACAAATATAGTAAATAATACTTCCACGAGCAATGTATGAGATCCAGCAAAGCATGAGATTATCAGGTACTCCACATCCTCATTAATACTAGATATTGTCAGTCCTTTTAATATAATCCATTCCAGTTGGGCCTACACCTTCTTTAACGACCTTCTATTAAAGAAAACACTTTCCCTTCTTCCAAGTCAAAAAAAAGGGGACTTTTTGTACATAATACCATCTTCCTGTCCAATCATATTAGTGTCTAGGAGGTTTTGTTTTAAAAGTAAACAGAAAATAAGAATGAAGATTATTGTGGTAGGGGAGAGGGTGAAAAGAAAAAGAAAGAATTGCATATCTGTTCAAGGATCAGCTATGATGAATAATGTGTCAGGCCCTTTGAGTTCAGGATGATGGTGAGGACTAGGAATGGATAGAGCAGGTCAAGAATGACTTTCAGACTCAGAGCCCAAACACAAATGCTTCGTGACTAGGTAAAAAACTGTGGCACAAAGCTGAGGAAGAAGTCATTTCCTCATTTCTACATGTGGCCCAGCATTGTGAAGGCACTCTGAACACTGTAACCAAAATTCTTTAACTCCCAAAGTGATAGTATCAATTTATACTCCCACCAGTTATATATAAAGAGCTCAAAACATTCTGACTAAGAGTAGTATGCAGAAACTTGCATTAGAAATATTAACACTTCCTACACAAAGGTACTGAGAACAAAATAGATCAGACAAATGATATAAGAGAACGAAGTGCAGAAATAGATCCAGATATGAGTATATAGAACTCAACTTATCATAAAGGAGATATTTCAATTTCAGAAAGAAAAGGATGGTTTATTCAAAAAACGATAATGATATACTTGGTTATTCATCTGAAAGTAAACAAAGTTATACCTCTTAAAATCTCTCAGAGAGGTATGGAGACAACGGAATCTAAAAATCTAAAACTAAACTAGACAGAGATAACAGCCTTCCCTGAGTTGGCAGAGACTGATGACTGTCAGAAGCACTGCCAAGAATGGGAACAGGTGGGTGGATAATGCAGTCCTTGTTATAATACAGGATGCCTGGCTGGGGTAGGTATGAAACAAAAAAACAAAAGAAAGCAACATAATGCACATCATAACCAAGCTGCTGGAAATCTTTAATAGGGAGAAAAACTTTACAGCAGCCAGAGGATAATATATAAGGGAGCAAAGGGAGATAAGAATAATGGCAAACTTCACATCGAAAACAATGCACGCCCATGGATAAAAGAATGACATAAAGTACTGAAAAATTTTTTTAAAGCTGTCCATCCAGAATTTCTTATCCAGGAAAAAGCAAAAAACAAAACTTTCAAATGAAGGCAAAATAAAAAGTTTTCAGACTAAAAACTAAGCAAAAAATTAAAAGAAAACGAAGCAAATGAGCCAAACACTCCTCTTGGAAAACAGACTGTCCACACTGGATAAAAAGATCCAACCACATGATATTTACAAGACAAACACTTTAAATATAAGAGCAAAGATAGGCTGCAATAAAGGGAAAAAAATATATACCATGCAAACATTAAATGTAAAAAAACCTGTTATGGCTATATTCATATCACACAAAGTAGAAATCAAGAAAAGGAACACTGCCAAACAAAAAGATATTTTATAATAATAAAAGGGTAAACTCATCAGGAAACTATAATAATACTGAATCTGTATATACCAAGTAACAATATAGTCTCAAAATATGTAAAGCAAAAATTGAACTAAAAGAATAGGCAAATTGATAATCATGGCAAAGTTTTTTAACACATATCTCTTGGTAACTGACAGATGAAGCAAAGAGACAAACAAAAAATTATATTAAACATCTGAATACCACTACTAATAAACATGACATAATCGAAGGTTATAAAATATAACACCAATAATTATAGAATACACATTCTTTCAGGTACACATAGAACATTCCCCAAAATAAACCATAAATCAAATCTCTGTAAGTTTTTAAAGACTACAATAACACAGGTCATTTTCTCTTGCCATAACAAATTTAATTCCAATGACATTTCTCTCAGAAATGGAAAGAACTCTCCAGACATTTGTATGGAATAACAAAAGACCTCGCATAGCCAAAGCAATGCTGAGCAAAAAAAATAAAGCTGGAGGCATAACACTACCTGACTTTAAACTATACTACAAAGCTATAATAACCAAAACAGCATGGTACTGGTATAAAAACAGACACATTGATCAATGGAACAGAAGAGAGAATCCAGAAATCAACCCACACACTGGGGTCAGGACTGCCTCTTCAGCAAATGGTGCTGGGAGAACTGGATATCCATATGCAGGAGAATGAAACTAGACCCATACCTCTCACCATATA